TGGGGAGGCAGAGATTGCTCTGACCTCCCAAGGGGGGCTGGGATGCCCTGGGACCCCAAGATGGACCTAACTCAGGGGGTCCCTGTTGTCTGTGCCTGCAAGACCTGTCTTGGACTGTATTCCTGTCATCCAAATAAACCTTCTGCTTTACTGGCTGACTGAGAGTCATGGTGAATCGCAGGAAGCCGGGGGTGCAGGGCCCTGAGTTCCCCAATACTCCGTGACAGGGACACAAACAACTCCCCACTCTGACAACAGCTGAAGAAATGGGGGGCTCTGGGGTCCCCTTTCATGCCCCATGGAGCCCAGCTCCCCAAGTACTGAGGTGAGGAGTTCCCTCACCTTTAAAATCCTGCAGGGCTTGGAAGTGGGGATACAAGTGCAGGGTGGCGTTGCCATGGGGAGAGAAAAGAGGTTGGGGTGGGGGCTGGGAGCCAGGACTCCTGGGTTCTCTCCCAGCTCTGAGAGGGGAATGGTGCTGGGAGCCCGGATGCCTGGGTTCTCTGGACTCACTGTCAGGGACTCTCGCTTGCTGCCGCGCATGAGGAAGGTGAACCTAAGTCTAGCTGGCGACCCCCGTGCGCTGGGTGTGTTCTCCAGGTACCTGCAGGGGGCACCAGGCAGGGAGGGGGCACCGCGCAGGGGGCACCAGGCAGGGAGGGGGCGCCGGGCAGGGCTGGGGGCTGGGCAGGGGGCACCAGGCAGGGAGGGGGGCCGGGCAGGGGGCACCAGGCAGGGGTAGATAAATCTCTGCATTAAGCAGCATCGCATAACTTTCCTGTGACTTTGTGCTGGGTCCGTCCATGCGTGACTCTGGTTTCCAGCAGCTTTGGGTCAAGGCCTTTGCTACGGGAACTTTGCACTGAGCCCGGGTACAATGTTATCGCCCCGATGGACAGTTCAGGTCGAAGGAAAATGGCTTTTTGCTCAGAGGAGAATAAGATCTCCCCGGTCCCCGTCCATCACTTGCCCGTTGGCTGAGCCAGGGGCGGCTAAGGAAGGCGGGAGGTGGCACCCCTGGGGAGGGGCTGGAGACAGACCCCAGGACAAGAACACGGGGCCCGGGGGCTCACTGAAGCTCAGACGCGTTGGCGGCCTCGGGGGTTAGGAGCAAACCGAACAGCAGCGGGACCCCCCCGGAGAGACGCAGCACGAAGGCCCAACGGCCACACACAGATTTTGCGGCTGGTGCAGATTTGCGTGAGCGGGAAGCGGCGATAAATGTGAGGTGTCGGGCAGAGGCCCCCGGTCTCGTCTTGTCAACACGGGAGCGACAATCCGGCTCCACCCCCCATCGAACTCACCTGCCAGTGACGTTATGGGGAGCAACGAATGGGGGACAACAACAAGCCAGAGTGTGTGTGTGTGTGTGCACGCGCATGAGAGCATGTGTGCGTGTGTGTGTGTGCGCCCGTGCGTGAAAGAGAGCATGTGTGTATGTGTGCACGCACGAGAGAGAGAGCGCGCGCGCCTGTATGTGTGTGTGATATGTCTCATATGCAGGTGATACCATGTGGATTGATACGTGTGTTACCAATCAATGTGGCGTTTGTCTCCCCCCTGAAAAGATCCCAGGCAGGGCACTAAGTACAATCCCTAGGCCTAGGAAGGGGGGGCTCGGGAAGCCCTCTCTGACCCCTCCCCGCTTGGACAGACCCTGGTGCCTGCGCTGCATCTGCCGGGCGGCTTCCCTCAGAGACAGGGACCGGCTCCTCCGAGCGATCCCCCTCCTCCAGCTGGGCAATGAGCTGTTCTTTGGTGAGCCTCCCACTGCGCAGCCCCCTCTGCCTGCACAGCTCCACCAGGTCGCTCTTAAGGCGCTTCGCATACATCTTCCTGCTGGCCACTCACCGGCCTGTGTGCTGGTTCCCAGTGTATCAGCCCGTTTCCAGGTCACCGCCTCAGCTTCTCCGCCCTGAGCCTGCTGCTGGCTGACTCTTCCCCACGCCTGGTCCCCGGCAATCCTCCTTTGGTCGCTGCTCCCCAGTCACTTACTTCAGGAAGCGCCGTCCACGGGGTGAAGTAGATCCCACCGCTGCCACCAGTTGTCATGGAGTGGGGGAGTCAGGGCCCTGCACCCTCACTTCCTGTGATTTCACGGGACTCTCAGCCAGCAGACCAGGAGGTTTATTGGCTGACAGGAACAGTCCAGACCAGGGCTTGTGGGTACAACCAGGACCCCTCGGCCAGGTCCCTCTGGGGGGCAGGGGGCTCAGACCCCAACCCTGGGGCTCCCTCCAGTTCCCAGCCAGCTCCAAACTGACCCCCTGGCTCCTCCCCCAGCCTTTGCCCAGTGTACCAGGCAGGTGGCACCTGGCCCCACCCCCTCCTGGGCTCAGGTATCATCCCTCGAGCTGTAGAGAAATCTCTGTATTTAATGATCTCTATAAATCTTTTTGACATTGCATCTTGGATGATGTTATTTTGTATTTCATATGACTTGGCATTGTGCCTCTATTTTCATTCAACTTTGTATTAGATCCCTATATAGAAAATTGGTAGAAAACTTTGTATCAAATGTTATAGCCCCTAAGGATAGTAGTTAAAGTAAAAGAAACATGTGCCTTTTTGCTAGAAGTAGAATAAGATCTCCCCCCCCAGGTAGTAATCAATTGCCCTATTGACTGAATGAGGTGTGAGTGAGTGAGGCTTGGAAGACACCCACCTCCAGACAGCTACAACTGTTGGAGAGGGGCTGGGAGCCAGAGCAAAGGACAATGCAAGTTGGCCAGTAGGCCCAATAAAGAAGAGCAGACATATTGAGGGCCTCAGGGAGTAGAAGCCAGCACCTTCTTTAGCAAACCCCCTCTTGGAGCAGCATTGGGACAACACCTGGAGAAAAGCAGCACAAAGACCAATGGACACAGACCCAGATTTTGAATCTGGTCTAGATTTGCATGAGAGGGAAGCTGCTATAAAGGTGAGGTATCTTGCAGAAGGACCCCGGGTCTCATCTTGTCAGCATCAGAGCATCGATCCGGCTCCACCCCTCCCGCATCTAACTCACCTGGCCAGTGCAGTTAAGGGGAGCAACTAGTTGGTAACAACAGCAAGATGGTGTGTGTGTGTGTGTGTGTGTGTGTGTGTGAGTGCATGACTGTGATATATCTCATATGCATATCAGAGTATTAATTGATATCTGTATTACTAATAAATGTGGCGTTTTGCCTTATTCCCCCTGAAAAGATCCCGTATAGTACTTTGAGTACAACAAAGGAGAGTCTCCCACTCCCATGCAGACAGTCCCAGTAAAACTGCCCTGCACCATTCAAATTAATTACAAATTAAATTAAAGTGATGAATTAAATCAATCGAACAAACCCTCCCTAGATCAGGCTAACACCACAGTCCCCGCTGAGCC